AAGGAATCAAAGAAGAAATCACACATTATTTAGAAAAATAGAAACAAATGGAAGCAAACACATAGCATATTACAAAACTGATGGGACACGGAGAAAGCTGTACATATACGAAATCACTTGATATATGATGCATCAGTCAAGAATGGGTTGCTAGATAATGGTATTAAGAAAACTAGGGGCACCTGGGTGGCTCAGTTGGCTAAGCATCTGACTTCGGCTCAGGTCATGATCTCACAGTTCGTGGGCTGGAGCCCCACGCTGGGCTCTGAGCTGTCAGCACAGAGACTGGAGCCTGCTTGGGATTCTGTGTCTCCCTCTCTCTCTGCCCCACCCCTGCTCATACTATCTCCCTCTCTCTCAAAAATTAAAAAAGGAAGGAAGGAAGGAAGGAAGGAAGGGAGGGAGGGAGGGAGGGAGGGAGGAAGGAAGGAAGGAAGGAGGAAGGAAGGAAGGAAGGAAGGAAGGAAGGAAGGAAGGAAGGAAGGAAAGGAAAGAACGAACGAACGAACGAACGAACGAAAGAAAGAAAGAAAGAAAGAAAGAAAGAAAGAAAGAAAGAAAACTGGCTTGCTACAAGGAGAAAAACACTTGAAATGAAAGTAGAATGCAAATGAATTAAAGACCTAAAAGTGCAGGGTAAAACTATAAAGCTAATATGGAAGAAAATGTAGAGAATATCCTAGTGATCTTGGGATAAGGAATGACTTCCTTGGGATAAGTCTTGGGATAAGTATGACCTAAATAGCACAAACAATAAAGTAAAAACTGATAAATTCTGAATTAAAATTCAGGCCTTTTGTTCAACAAAGAACACAACAGAAAAGTCAACAAATGGTTGAGAGACCAGGAGAAGACATTTGCCATATTTAAGTAAAGAATAATATCTAGAGAGTATACAAGGATTGGTGCAAATCAATACTAGGAAGACAACAAAACCAACTTTTAAACACTTTTTTGGGGGTGGGGAGAGAGAGAGAAAGTGCACAAGGTGGGGGAGGGGCAGAGTAACTGGTGACAGTAGGGAGTTGGGAAGTTATCTAAAGAGTCAGAAAAGTGGGGCGCCTGGGTGGCTTAGTCGGTTAAGCGTCCGACTTTCGCTTAGGTCATGGTCTCGCGGTTCGTGGGTTCGAGCCCCGCGTCGGGCTCTGTGCTGACTGCCAGCTCAGAGCCTGGAGCCTGTTTCAGTCTGTGACTCCCTCTCTCTCTGACCCTCCCCTGCTCACACTCTCTCTATCTCTCCTAGAAATAAAAAAAAAAAAAATTTTTAAATTAAAAAAAAAAGAGTCAGAAAAGTAAAATATGTGGATAATTTGGGATTCTACTCTGCCATCAGAGGCAGTGAAATGGATGTGCACACAGCAACAGGAAGAGATCCTGAGTTAATGTTGAGAAACAGAACAAGATCTGCCACATAATCCTACTGAGGGAACTGAACTTAACACATGACAGTGCTATATATTCATAAGGGTATACATACATCCAAAGACAAACAGCAACACTTAACATCCTTGCCTATAGGGACTGAGGATGAGGTGGACAATAGGTGTGAAAATTCAGGCTTGAAAATTTCTGAATTTCAATTTCCTGAAAATGACGAGTCATCACTGAGTAGGATTAACTCAACTCTCTACATCTGAGGTCCATGGAAAGAAAAAAGTGTAATTGTAAAACCTGTGTAAAGCCTTGTGTGCTGAAAGGATCAAATCCAATTGTGTATGCAATGTGTGTGACAGCACTCCATGAGCTTGTAAAGTGTTACTCACATAGACGTTACTGCCAGACATGAGAAGGGCTGTATGACTTCCTCTATATGACAGAACTGAGGTTCAGAGAGGTTGAGTGGCCGGCCCAAGGATACCTACCTCATCGGAGGCAGAACTAAAGGAGGCATCCTTATACTGCTCTTCCTCTCACATCACATTTACAATTCACTTGCAAGGCAAGGCAGCTCAGCTGACTTCTCAACACCCCTGAAACCAGACTGCTTCTGATCATACTAGTGCTGCTTCCACTTTTTTTTTTTTTTTGAAGTTTATTTATTTAGAGAAAGTGAACATGGGGAGGACAGAGGGAGAGGGAGAGAAAGAATTCCAAGCAGGCTCTGCATTACCAGTGCAGAAGCCGATGTGGGGCTTGAACTCATGAACCATGAGATCATGACCTGAGCCGACGCCCAAAGCTTAATCTAGTGAGCCACTCGGGTGCCCCTGTTGCTACTCTTATAAAGTCACCAGCACCTTTTACATGAACTACTCAACAGCCTCCCGACTAGGCCCGCTGCTTCTACTGTTCCCCCTCTGCAGCCAGAATCATCTTCTAAAAAGTCTACCTGCTCTTACTTCCTTGCTTTCAACCCTCCAGGGGCTTCCTGTGAAAACCATCACAACGGCAAATAGAGTCCTACACTATCTGGCCCCTGCTTATCCCGCCAACCAGTTTCTGCTATGTTTCTAGCCTCTACCCTTGCTCACTACCTTCCAGCCACACTGGCCTCCTTGTTTTTCCTTGTATAAGCCCAGCATGTTCTTGTCTTTACATTCCCTCTTCCCCTCTGCCTAGAATGCTCCTTCTTCCCATATTCACACTGCTAGCGTCCTCTCTTCATTCACATGTCATTCATTTAAATGTCACTTGTCTTCTCTGAAATTCTTTCTAAATATACTGGCATTCTCTACCCTCCCATCTTCCTTTATTTTCCTTCCTGGCACTTATTACCTGACATTGTTATTTACTTATTTGTCGACTTATTTGAATGTCTATCTCCTCCACCGGTACACAAGTTCTTACACCACCTTAGTTAGCCCTGTACCTGCAGTGTCCAGACAGTCCTCAGCACATAGAAGACACATGGAAGTATTTCTTGAGCGCAACAATTAAACAAACTCCGACCTGACCACCTAGCTCATGTTCTTTCCATCACATCATGCTGCTTCCTGGGGAAAAAGGTAAATGTGTATACAACTTGTCACTTCTGCCCTAACATATTAAAATGTCATGTCTCATATACTATTTTCAGCCATACCACACCTGGCATGTAGTAAATGCTGTGTAAATATGATAAAATTAAAGTGTGAAAAGCAACGATAAAAAGAGATAAGAAGAGAGAAAAGGGAATTGGTGGTAAGGAGAAACTCTAATTCAGGGGCGCCTGGGTGGCCCAGTTTGTTAAGCGTCTGAGTTCGGCTTGGGTCACGATCTTGTGGGTTCGTGAATTCAAGTCTTATGCCAGGCTCCGTGCTGACAGCTCAGAGCCTAGAGTGTGCTTTGAATGCTGTGTCTCCCTCTCTCTCTGCCCCTCCCCTGATCACACTCTGTGTCTCTCAAAAATAAATAAAAAACATTTTTAAAAAATTAATGTGTATTCTGTGGCACCACAGACCATTCCGGGGTCAATCCATCTTATATTTCCTATGTGCCTACCTGCCCAAGTTAGGAGTTCTGAAAGAGATAAAAATTAACCAAATGTAAGTACGGGCTTCAAGGAGCTAAAATTGACGTAACTATCAAAATACAAATGTTAATATATACTTATTAAGGAGGTATAACTAAAGAGCTATAGGATTTCATGGTGAGAATTACATCTAGTTGTGGAAACTAACAGAAGAATCTACAAAAAGAGGTTGCAGTCAAAATGGTTAAACTAAATATTGATAGACCAGTAGCGGATGGATGATAGCCTATTAACTCTTGAAAGACAAGAACCATATTTTACTCATCTCGGTGTTCTTAATGCCTCCCACAATGTCTAGACCCTAACGACATTCATTAAATCTTTAACAAACTTGGGAGGAACAAGGCATTCCAGGCAGAAGAGCATTGATCAGTTATACAGAAGAGAATGCAACACATAGTGAGCAAAAATAGAGTGAGGACTGACTAATAAAAAGGATTTGTGAAAGGGAATGGCAAGAACCAAAGTGGGAAGAGTAAGTTAGGACCAGCCACGAAATACCATGAATGACAGAGTAAGAGGCTTATGCTTTATTATGCAGGCCAGGAAGAGACCATTGAAAATTTTTACACAGGAGAAGGTGATCTGAGGAGTCTAGCAGGAACCCTCTGCTTGAAAAAAATAAATCAGTCTGTAACCAATCCATCCATCCCATTTCAAATTCTACCACTAGAAATTATTTTCTTTTAAGGCATAACCTCTCTAGGAATCTTCTTAATATCTAGTTCTCTGAGAGGGAATAAAAAAGGCTGTTGTCGTTCATTTATACTTTAGTGTAAACTGGATGATCAATTCCCTTCTCCTGGCTAGAGTTAAGTACACAGAGCCACTGGGTAAGTAAGAATTTTGACTGTAGATGGGCGTCTAACTTTTTGACTCTGAGATACCACCTTGGAAAGACAGAGTTTGCAGGGCAAAAACAAACAAAAAACGTTAGCTAATTAATATCTTTAAGAGTCAATTCTGTCTTTCCCAAAAGCAGACCTTAGTAAGGATAAGTAAAAGATATTATATTTCCTATGGTAGGAAGTATTCAACTGATGACTCAGAAGGTAAGAAATAAGGAGAAATATGATCAATTAAACATGCTTGAGGGAAAGAAAAATGTTTTGTGAACTTTAGACACTACATACTAAGTTCTTTGAGTTTTCCTCAAAAGTGGCAAGTAAAGACTTTCCCTAAATCACATTCAACCACTCCATGAGCTGTAACGGGCAATCAATAATCCAAGGAATATGATGGTACAAGAAGAAAAAAAATTTTAAAGGTTGAAAATCCACCCAAATGATATTATGCACCAAAAATGATAATCAGGATAACCATGTGATAACCCTGGTAATTCCATCCAGAATTAATGGAAATCAGGCATTTCATTTAGATGTTTTTCTGCTTTCTAAAATTCCTATCCTCACTCTAGGCCAGAGAGGGCTCATTTTGCTGGCGAATTAGGCGACGGGGCGCAAGGAAAACACTGAATCGCGTGGCCTCAGACGTCCACCTAAGGACCCCCAAGTTCCCTACGGGAAGGGGATGGGATGCGGGCACTCACCGCTTGTCAATGGCGTCGATGTTTGAATGGAGGAGCCACAGCTCCTCCGTGTTGTCCTGCCGAGAAGACAGGATCAGATGGTGACCAGTCAGACACAAGGTCCCTTCGACGGCGGGATAGAAAGGCCGGTGCAGCACCACATTGTCCACCCGCGGGGTCTTAATCAGCTCCGCAAACTCCATGTTGCCCCGCGGCCGGAGCCACGGGACGGCCGAGACCCGGAGGTCCGGGGTAGTTACACCGCCGCAGGGCTGGGGACGACACAGACCCGGCTCTGGGCAGGCCGGAGGGGCGGGGACGGGGCGGGGAGGCCGGGCTCCGCCCCAGGCTAGGGTGGGCGCGGCGAGGCCTGTGGCCCCCGTCACTGGCCGCGGGAAGACGGGAGCTGGGGCTGGGGCTGGGCCAGGCCCGGGCGTCTCTCTCGCACTCCCGGTGCCCCAGGCCCAGGTCTCGGGCCTAGAGAACGCTCCGCGACAGGCCCAGCAAGCCGCTGCCGTCACCTGGGGACCCGGCTTCAGGTGGCCAGGCTGCAGGGAGAAGGAGGAGGCCGCTTTAGGGTCACTTTCCGAGACCAAGCGGCTTGGGACTCCTGGCGGAAGTAGCTGCTCGAAGCCGGAGTCTAGGGCAACTCCGGGCGGAAGCGGCGGAGCTCGAAACTCGGAAGGCTAGGAAGTCAGAGCCGGAAGTCGGTGCCCTCCGCAAGTCCGAAGAGAATGCTTCCGGAAACGCAGACAGACGCGAAGGTTTGCGTTCCTACCAGGAGAAAGCACTTTGCCTTCGTGCCCACCGCCGTACCTCCCACCCCTTCCAAATTCTCCTTATCAGAAAAGGCCAGGGAGGAAGGGACAACGAGAAGAGGTCCTTGCCTGCTTCCCCGCTCTTGAGTAGTAATCCCTGCAAGGGCTCTTCACAACTTGAGGCTGCTGTAAATTGTGAGGATTTTCGTCCATTCTCCGTGAGATGGCAAGTGTGTGATCGAATCAGTGATTGTGACGGTAGAGAAACCGCAGGTGTAAGGGAGGAACCCAGGGCAGGCACCGCAGACTCCCAGAGAGCGCCGCGCCAAGGTTCTGTGACCTTGAACAAGAGTAAGGGAAAACAGGGGCGCCTGGGTGGCTTAGTCGGTTAAGTGTCTGACTTCAGCTCAGGTCATGATCTCACGGTTTGTGGGTTCAAGCCCCGCGTCGGGCTCTGTGCTGACAGCTCAGAGCCTGAAGCCTGTCTTTGGATTCTGTGTCTCCCTCTCTCTCTGACCCTCCCCTGCCCACACTGTCTCTCTCTCTCCCCTAGAAATAAAAACATTTTTAAAAAATTTTAAAAAAGAGTAAGGGAAAGCATGCCAACACCTATGAGAGGGACCTAGGTAGAAATAACAGACTGCATAGAAGAGGAAAAGACTCATCCTATTCTGTGAGGAAGTTCAAATGACGCTAAGTCAATCTGTAGAGGAGACTGGACTTCAATCTAGATCGATGAAATCAAGGTACTGGGGCGGGGGGAGGATTGATCACCACTGCACAGCCACTCCATCAAATACAGTGCCACTGAACTACTCTCAGATCCCTAAATTATGCCAGAAATTTACTCCAGTAAATTCTCCTTGCCTAGTGCCCCTTTCTTTAAACTATTTTCATCGCTTCATTCATCTTTGAAATCCTCACTATCTAGTACCTAAGGACAACGAGTAGGCTAAAGTCTCACAGCAATCAAAGTAAAATTGCCTAAAATCTCACCTGATATAAATAAATAAATAAATAATAAATAAATAAATAAATAAAATCTCACCCTATCACCCAGCAGTGTACCTGCTATGTCCTTGCCCTTCCTAAAATGTTGCCTTATTAAAACAAAACGCTTTAAAAGATTCTTAACAGCTGAGAGTCCAGCTTTGTCTGCAAAATAAAAAAAGGAAGCAACAGAAAAGGGAAAATAAGGTTTATAAAGCTATTTTTTGAATTGGAATTTTTGTTGTCCTTCCACTTTGTGATTCATTATAACAATTCAGAATTTACTTCCAGAATGAGGAATCAGGGAAAGTTTTATGGAGAAGGTATCATTTGAAACAATGACCTTGAAGGATGAGTAAGATTTACGCTCTGAATGGAATGTCACCAAAATGTCTGTCTTGTCTTAATTTAATGATGTCTGCTTGAGGTAGGGAAACATTCTTCAAAAGTTCTGTGGCCTTTTCTTTTAGTTTAACTGGAAAAAAAAAAAAGCCTATGAAAAAAACCATTGTGTCATTATATTTTTAAGTGTTTAATATTCCATAGAGGCATAAACTCTTTTTGCCAACAAGAGAAAATTGTCAGTATCATGCTGGATTGCTATAACGAAATGTCGGAAACTATTAAGAAATTACACCTACTCTGGGTTGAAACTCAAAGCACAGAAAGCCCCTGAGATTTGCAGAAAACAAATATTCAATAGCAAAGTACACTGGATATGGAGTGCAATATGTGAATTTAGTAAGTACGTGAACAGTAGATGGCAGTAGAGCTCAGCAGTAACTGGCTAGGCTCCCATTCTATTACATTAATTCAAGGAAGCTGTAGGCAAAGCAAATTTATTATCCAAATTGCCAGGTTGTAAGGGTCTCAGATGTTTCTGATAAACAAAAGACGACGATGGCATTTATAATGCTTGTAAAACACTCAACACCTTATAGATGTTAGTACTTTTATTACTATTTTATGAGATAATAAATGGCATTAATGTGTAATCCTCTTGTTCTATCAGATAGTCACCCAGTATGTATTAAATGCCTACCCGGTCATCAGTACTTGCCCTCAAAAAGTAGTAGCTAATTTGGGAAGGCCAACACACCCTACACAACTAATGAACAAAAGCTAAGAGAGTAAGTACGAAATTTTGAAGTACAGGTTTACTTTCCCAGCTCTGTGTTTCTCTCTCTTTTTTTTTTAATTTTTAAAAATGTTTTATTTATTTCTGAGAGAGAGAGAAACAGTGTGAGCAGGGGAGGGTCAGAGAGAGGGAGACACAGAATCCAAAACAGGCTCCAAGCTCTCAGCTAGCTGTCCAGCAGAGAGCCCGATGCGAGGCGCAAACCCACAAACTGTGAGATCGTGACCTGAGCCAAAGTCAGACACTTAACCAACAGAGCCACCCAGGTGTCCCTCCCAGCTCTGGGTTTCTCTACGAGGCCCTGAGTAGTTCGTAGGAATTGGGAGTTTGAAAGTAGTTTGAAGAAAGCAGATCAACAATTTCCAAAAGTAGCAGGAGCATTTAAGATGGAGAAGACACTGCCTTTATGTGCCATTGATGAACACTTATTCTCCATGTGCTTGACTGTAGTAGGCAGCTGAGTCAAACTTGATAACTTCATGCCTATCTTCCTTGTGTTCTCCCTCCCTTCATGCCCTCGGCAAGTCAATCACCAAACTGTAGCTCTTCTAATAACTCTTGAAATCCCCCACTTCTCTCCATCCCCAAGGCTGATGCCACCATCATCTCTCACCGTACGTAAGGAGAAAACCTCTCGGTTGGTCTCATTTTTCCAATAGGTTTTCCCTCAAGACTATTTTTCCATTTGGCAGCTAATACCCTCCTTATGTTCTAAATTTCTTTTTTCTTTTCTTGTAAATCCTTTTACGATCTAGCCCCTTAGGGCAGTGATCAGCACCACAGATCTCATCGCTCCTACGCTCTCTCTCTACCTGGCACAACAGCTCCTAAACCCCATTCTCAGCAGTTGGCACACCAGCTATCCTTAAATAGCTCACAGTTTTCTCTTGAGATTTTGCACCCAGTTAGAACCTTGCTCCCGTGTGGAAGTGTAGGACAGGGACCAGCATCATTAGCATTCCCTGGAAACTTTGTTAGAAACATTTCGCTCCAGGGGCACCTGGTTGTTCAGTCCATTAAACGTCCGATTCTTGTTTTCAGCTCAGGTCATGATCCCATGGTTTCATGAGTTTGAGCCCCATGTCAGGATCTGTGCTGATGGGGCCTAGTTGGGATTCTCTGTCTCCCTCTCTCTCTCTCTCTCTGCCCCTTCCCCACTCATACTCTGTCTCTCTCTCAAAAACAAACAAACAAACAAACAAACAAGCAAAGAACAGGAATGTTTCACTCCAGAGCCACTGAATCAGAATCTGGACTTAAACAAGATTCCTAGATGCTTTTCATGAGCATCAAAGTCTGAGAAAGCACTGATTTCAAGAATCTGGGTGTTCTTTCTGCCTGGTATACATTCACCTCACCCCTAATACCTTGTACCTTGACCTGATAATTCCTGTCATCTTTCAGATCTCCTCTCAGCTGTCACTGCCTTCAGGAAGCCTCTCCTGATTCCACACCTGCCAAAGCCCCCAAAACTATGGGCTCCACAGCACTACGTAATAATAACAATAGTTCATACTGTTGAGTGTTTTCTCTGTGTTCCAGACATTGTGCTAAATGCTTTGCATGTACTGGCTCATGTAGTCCTTGCACAGTTCTCTGAGATTAGTTTGTATTCTCCTTTTACCAATGAAGAAACTGAGGCACAGAGATCTTAATAAGTTTTCCCAGGTCAGATAGAAATAAGTGGCAGAAGGAGGAGTTAGACCCAAGCAGCTGGGTTCAGACTCTGTGCTCTTCACCACCATGCTCCATTGACACCCATGAGACCCGAGCCCACCATGGGCTTTCCCTGATTTCACCTCTTAACAAACTGTATTGAGGGCCACCTGGGTGGCTCAGTTGGTTGAGCATCTGACTCTTGATTTTGGCTCAGGTCATGATCTCATTGTGAGATCAAGCCCCACATCATGCTCTGCATTGATAGCACAGAGTCTGCTTGGGATTCTCTCCCTCTCTCTCTGCCCCTCCCCTGCTCTTGTTCTCTCTCTCTCAAAATAAATAAACATTAAAAAATAAATAAATATGGGCACCCTAGTGGTTCAGTGGGTTAAGCATCCAAGCTCTTGATTTTGGCTGAGGTCATCATCTCACGGCTATGGGTTCAAGCCTGGCATCATACTCTGTGCTGATAGTGTGGAGCATGCTTGGAATTCTCTCTCTCTCCTTTTCTCTCTGCCCCTTCTTCCCCTACTCTCTCTCAAATAAATAAATAAACCTAAAAATAAATAAATTAAAAGTATTGAAATAGATTCCTTATGAGTCCATAACATTCCACTAGACAATAAACTCCTGGAAGGCAAGGACCATTTCTTGATTGTAGTATGCCCAGAACCAGCTTAGTGCCTATATGTAAAAGCCATTCAATGTATGTTTGTTGAATAGATACTTTGTATTTTACTGAATGTATTTCACCCTGGCCTCTCCT